AGAGGTGATTCTGAAACAAAGATTTATTTTATTGTTAGTTATTGAGTTGTCTCTAGTGGTGCTGTATGTCTGGGGGTCAATCCAGCAAAAAGGCAGCTAGCTCACCCGTCTGGCCCCTACAGCACAAGGAAACGTGTGTCAGCTGTTGCAGTATGTGTTAAAAACGGGGTGTGATGATACTCACTCAAGCAACTTGAGTGACTCACTTAACAACCAAATCCTATTATAAGACCTGTAGAGGAACACATTTTAAGAGCATTAGAAATTCAAGCAGCTTTATAACAATAACATAACTTTCATTTTGTTCTGATCTCATATAAGAGTAAATTCAGATTACAGTTGACAGTTTTGCAGGACAGTTTGACATAATGTTATCTGGGAGTTGCAAGAGATGTAAACTGGTATTTTAGGACTCAACATTTCTTCAAGAAGTACATTTCTGAACTTCCTGAGGGGCTTTGCCATTGAGGAATGTGGGTGTCTTCTGTACTCCTCTTATACAGAGGAGGGCAAAGAATTCCCCCCACATGTCCCCAACATGCTGGAGATCTTTTAGTGTTCAGAGATGGAGGCATTAACAGTAAAACAAATATAATACAGAAAGCACTTTCTAACAATCTGTAACTTAAATACACTACAAATCTAGTCCAAAAGATTTAAAAGATTTGCATTGCCTTTATGCTGAAGAAATACGAGCTATTTTCCATCTGCATATACACTGAGCTCTTAAACTCTGGAAATCAATCTAGCAATTAGAGAAATGCTGGAATTAATTTTGCAGGGTGAATGATTCACTGTCATACTAGTATTATTTTATTATAAAACTTACAACAAATCATAATTTAGTCTTGAGAACAACAGGCCCAATATCTTTGCTGAGTACGAGAGTTTAGAGTTCACAGCATGCTGAATCACATTTTATACTCCTAATGCATTGCTCAGATGGGTAATGTCTCAGCATTTGATTTAAGCATCTTATCATCTTGTGGGCAGAATTTATTTAAAATTTAATGCAGAAGTCCATGCTATTTTCTCAACCGCAAATAAGTGATTTCTACTTTAGTCTCCACAGAGACTTTGAGGAGATACAGAGGAATGCTGTTCAACTGGAATATTTACTTCCCTGCAGTCCTCTGTATGCAGCCCACTGATACAAAAAAGCAAATAAGCATAATCTCTTTTCCCCAAGCTTTTCCACCATCACCTCTTTTCATAGTGTTTGGCCTATTAATATATTTCAAATAAGGTTACGTGCTGCTTGTAGTCAATTTTGCAACTGTGCAATAGATGCATTGTCTGCTCACAAAGCTGAGGTTATTAACAGAGAAGTTTGGTGCATAGCAGATTTAGCAAGGGAAAAGGTAAGAACTGATGTATTGCCCCGAATTATAAGCATTATATGCTACGATTATTTTCAGGAAGGAGCATTTATTTTTTTTTCCATTATAATTATACTTATTATATATTCGTTATATATATTTCATGTCTTATTAGTAATGGATACTTCAATATCAACATTTTTAGAACTAGTATATATACATATACAAGTAGGTTCCAAAATATATGCATATTATGAGGCTGTTATGAGCAGTATCCATGGTGCCTGGTACAAAGTCTTATTAAAAACTAGAGGAAAAACATTTATTTTTCTTCTCTCTCTCTTTTTTTTTTTTTTAATTTTAATTTTTATTTTTGTCAAGGTAAATAGCAGAAATAATGTAGTAAACAAGCATAAATCTGACTATGGTAATTTTTAGAGTACTAGGTAGGAAATCTAAGGAGATGAAAAGGAAGATAAAAGGAAAGTCAAGGAGACCGAGGGCTGAGCAATCAATCATAAAACACGAGTATGTAGAATGAGCACTATCCCATGAGTACTTCTATTATTCATTGTTTTCCATAGCTAGCAGTATTAAAGAGGTACCTGCTGAAACTAGGCTTCAGTTGTGTCAATTCAGAATCAATTCCTGGCTCCTTCTGCATTTCAGATCTGGAATTTAATGCCAAATGGTTTTTCCTTATATCTAGAATCACTCCCGGTGGTTTGCACATAGGAGGGACCCTGTGTAAGTATAATCCCGCATCTAACTGTCCTCATTTTGGAATGTTGAAAAGATCTTTCTCTAGAGTTACTGTTTCTTGTCCAAGGACTGGGAGACAAAGGTAGCAAGGCTTATCATACCATAAGTTTCAAGAAGGCTTTTTCTTCTTATCTTAGAATGAAAATAGTCCCTCTTGGTGCCTGCTTAAGGGATTTGCTTTGTACTTGCTCTGATGAAAGCAAAAAAGCAGGAACAATTTGTTCATCTTACTCAACTCTCTCTGTTCTGTCAGAAATGGAGAAATGAGCAGAAAATTGATTTTGTAGGAAAAAAAAAAAAAAAAGTAGCTACCAGAATTTGCTGAGTAAACTCAAATTGCTCCCCCAAAATCATGGCCAGCACTTGGACCTCCAGTTTAGAGAGGAGATGGACATTTTGCTATTTTGCAGCTGTCAGGAGACTACTTCATCAGTGTGTGAACCAGCATACAAACATGCAGAAGGCAGCAGCATCTGATCCCCAAATTAAGTGAGACCTGGGCTCACAGCAGCATCTCCTGCAGCTTCACAAACTTTCTATCAGCAGGAAGAAAACCCAGGTTCAAAGAGCAGGGGAAAAGCCCTAGCCCACCCATGACATTTTACACACAGAACAGGCTAATGTTATCAATATGTAAATGAGACTTGGATAAGGGAAACTGTGGGTTGGATTTTGTTATGTCTAAAATTGTCAGATATGTAAACTAAAATCTGTAACACTGATAAAACAAACAGTACAGTTGCCTACTGATTTTGCTGTATTCAGAAGAACTGCACTTTTCTCTAGCTGCCAACCAGAAACAGTGCAATTAGAACTAGTCAGCATAAATCAGGGAGTGTAATACTAACAAAAAGCTCAGATCCTCCTCTTTTCTTATGCAATATGAATACCAGAGCTTAACTTTGGCTATTTACATGCTTTAATCTTTAAGTCAGTGGGATAAATTTTGTTCTTCGTTATGTACACATAACCACATCAACACCAATGGAAAGCACAAGTACGAACAGCTTTTGGCCTGTTAGGCCTGAACTGGAAACACCTGACTGAAGTCATGTTCTCATTTTTTCATATCTTATTTCAAAAGACTTAATGTTGCTAATCTACAAACTACACTGCAAGCGTGGCCAGTAAATTAAAACAAACTATTAATTGTTTATACCTCAAGTTAATACACAACTGTAAGAAACTTTTAAGTACTAAACTTCACCAACTTCAATTTCTGCTATGGAAATTATTGACTCTCTGTATACTGCAAACTGTTTTATAGTTAGACTTGCTTGTTAATGTATTCCTCACAAGTATATTTTCAAAAATTACCTCCCTAGGGCAACAGAAAGCAAATGCTGTACCTCCCCATTTTCTGACAATCATCCAGATTTCAGTTAACTTCAGTAGCATTTACAGATTATAATATTAGTTATTCTAGCATTGGCTTACAAGTTATGCAGCAATTATTATACAGATTAGATAGTTTATTAGGGCACAGAGAAGTACACATAGAACAGACTGAACTTTTGAAACTTGGAAACAAATAAATGAAATTAGGCCTGGATTTTCATCAAGTTCCTGGCTTTCAAACTGATTAACAGAGCTGCCACATCTCTCCTACCTGCTTCTGTAGCAGAGTTCTGAGCTTCAGTGAAAGTCTGTGAACCTGTAAATGTTAGAAAACATGCAAAATAAGGATTCTACTATTAAAATGTAAAATTAGGCTATAGTACCATTAAACATCCCCACAGAAATTCCACTCTTTTACTGGACAAGACAAACAAACAAACAACCCTCCTTGGAAAGGTGTCTATAGAGTCCCTTAACTGTGAAAATAAGAATATTATTTAACAATATAAAAAGTGGCTCAGAACAAATGTCCAAATCACCTGTATCCCATCTCCAGCAGTAGCAACAGTTATGGAAGATGGTAGGAGTAGATAACCGTGTAGTGAGACTGCCCCGATGTATTTTCCAAACCTTCAATGACTTGCAGATCAGAAATTACCTGAGCTGGAGTTGTTTAATTGGTGTGAGTGGTTGTTTTAGTCTAGACATCTGATGAGCATTTGTTAAATGTCCCAGGCTGTCCCAGGCTTTTGCCATCATACTACTAGGGTTGGAAACCTAGAGAGGGTGGGCTAGGGCTTTTCCCCTGCTCTTTGAACATGGGTTTTCTTCCTGCTGATAGAAAGTTTGTGAAGCTGCAGGAGATACTGCTCTCCTCTTCCTAATCTTCTGAACCAAACATAATTCTGAGGAAATAAAAATGTTCAGGCTCTGCCATTGTTTCCATTCTTAGTGTGGCTGGTATATGCGCAGAGGGACCAGAAAATATCTCTACAGGACAGCAGCAGGAGACTGAAGATGGTGCAGAAGGCTTCATCTTCTTCTTACTCATAATTTATTAGTGTGTATGTAACATAAATCAAATTAAGATTTTTGTTTTTGTTTTTCCTGAAGGTACAAATAAAAGACACTATCTGCTACCAACCAGCAGAAAAAGAGTCATCCACCATCAGGCTAAAACATAATTTCTTAATTACAATGACTGTTATCATTGGTGACACCATGACCCAATAGGGTAAGAAACACAAAATGAAACTAACAGCCTATTCCTGAAGTGGTAAGGAAAGGGAAACAAAATGTCATTTGTTCTCTCCTCAAATGGCTTCCTTATGTTCTGCAGAACCCCAAGCAATTGCAGCTGTTGGGAGAAGCCAGAGCTGCTTTCACTGCTGCCAGTCACACTGCCAGACACCCTTACGGAAACCCACAAGCCACACAATTTCAGCCAGCACCGAGATGCTATCCTGCATCTCTGTGGTACAAGATGGTACAGCATATGACTTGTTTTACTGTAACCGAGCCTTCTGTTCTCAAATTCATAGACAGCATGATATGGCTAACAAATCACTTCAATATCTGGAATGTGATTACTTATTTATTCTGTTTATTGTAGGATATCTACTTTTCCAAGTCAAAGCAGTTAAATGTTTTTAAATATCTGGAGTTCTAACAAGCTCTGACACTTTATGTTAAAGAAACTTAGCTGCATTTTCTGAAAGTGTCTTTTTCTTTGTTTTCTTTACTAAACAAAGGGTTGTGCTTACTGTAATACACACTACTGTTAGTAATCCAAAGACTAGTAACAATATCGTTGAAAAACTAAACTCCGTATTAGAAGTGGGATACACCATTGGGGGAACAAACTTTACAGCTTGTGCAATATTAGACAGCTCAGAGTGAAGAAAATCATCAATGGCACGCATCGCAACGTAAATTATGGTTATGTTTCCTGTTGTAAAAGCTTCTGGTTTAAATGCAAATATTTCTTTGCAGCCAGCATGCTGAGGTGAGAGAGTGGAAGTATTCACTACACCGGTGTTATAGAAGCTGTCCCTTAGTTCCAGAGGACTCTCACTTATTCTGATTTCATAACTTGCAGCTGAAAATACAAATATTAAAAGATATTGTCATCTGTGTGTTAGCTATCATTCAAACTTCTGATCTCTCTCCAAATACTCTCTTTTCAAAATACTTCCAAAATAATACTTACTTAATATTTTCTTCGTAAGTCAGTTGAGCACCATAAAAATTAATGCAGCATGACGGATAGATCTACAAAAACTTGTTACCTAAACTAAGTGCTTGAACGATTCAATTTCTCACAGCACAGCATTGAAATGAAGAAGTGATGGTGGTCATCATGAGCCCACACTGAAGTCTGACAGTAATTCTGACTTCACTTACTGTTATGTCAAAGTCGGTGAAGTAAAATTCCTACTTGACCAAATCTGATGTTTATTTACACTTTTTCTTTACATGTACAGAGTAATATGTCTATCTTCCATGAGCAGCAGAAAACATCAACTTAGTAAAAGTAAGCCTTCCATCAAAATCACCAGCACTGATTCTGAAACTCTCAAAAAGCTTATCATCTAACTCCATTTAAAATCTTTGCAACTAGAACCACCATACTTTATAAGAAAATTCCCACTAGTGTCAGTGAGACTAAACTCCATTACAGATCTTCCACTTTGGTTAGGAAGCAGGCTGGCAAGCTACGAACATACCTCGGCCTTTGTCAAAATCATTTCCTGGTGATGTCCATGATAGAATGACCTTATCATCTTCTATTCTGGCCACAAGGTCAATAATTTTACATGGTGGAAACACATCAGCATGAGGTCCCATTGGAACTGCAGATATTATGAAGGATTCTCCCACAGCTGTTCTATGGAAACCTCCTCTTCTGACTTGAATATCACTTTTAATAGCTGGGGGTCTTGATGGGTTCATCTTGAGTTTACCTACAGCATTAAAAAATGCTCATCAATCTTAACTTCTTGCATATTATTGTACTGTGCAGGTGACCTGAACATCACCTCATTTATACTGTTTTAAATCTGAAAAATCTATAAACCCCAATTATGTACAGTCATTTCTAGTGTAGTATCTGTTTCTTTACAGTTTCAAGAGTGTTAATTACTAAGAAAGCTAATATGAAATTACAGTAACTGTTGCTTGTTATAAAATAATTACAGGAGAGTTTAATATCCTAATATTGTAACAGTTCTTAATTTAGGATGACTGAATATAAGTAATAATAGTCATTATTACTTAATAAACTTATTGTTAGTCTTTTCCAAACAAAACACAAATCCTGTCTATCTGTACTACATAGCTACTGCCCCATTATAGTTGTTTGTGGTATACTTTCAATATTCTGGGGTATAGAGACTCTTTTGGTGTTAATGCCTTTGTAACTGAACATCTCCTAGCTGGGCTGTTGTTGTTCTAATGTCTCCTCCTAGTATTTGTGAAGGGATGTGATGCATTCAGGTGTTGGAATAGATAGCTATATCATTTTCTCTTCATTGCTTTACCTTACCATTTTCTACATAACCTGGTATATACATGGCATGACTCCACAGCTTTGCAGTTTGTGGCACAATAGTCCTGTTAGCTTGGACATGAGCTTTCAGGCTGTATCTGCCATTCCCAGGGAAAGAAAACAAGTACTTGGAATATATGCCATCATTCTTAACAATGTCAGAACCTAGACAGAAAAATGACATAAATTAACATCAAACAAAAATGGATGTGATTATTTATGCTTTCTAGATTCACATACAGAAACTAGAATGTAAGAATAATAGGTAAATTCTCCTCTGATGTGCAACCTGTGCAGATCCTCTGCATTTGGTTGTATGTTAAAACTTAAAGAAGATTATGATCTGAAGCTAAGATACCTCTTTGTATGGCATGTTAACTGAAGGAAGAGCTAACAGGAAAATCATCTATTATTTCATAAGTTGTTACACTTTGGCCCCTGAGCTGAGATCTGGGAAACCGCCCAGGAATTCAGGGAAAATGGGGTGGGTGGACCTTCACCTCCAAAGTCCTCAGTGTACATTCCTGAAACACACTTCTCATTTATGGACTTACTCCTATGGTGGCACAAACCAGAGAGTATTCGTTACTACTTCTGATTGTTTTCAGTTGTGAACTTTAATATAGAAAAAACACTTTATTGAAGTAGCTCCAAAAGTTACCAAAGTGATTTTGTAACTACCTACTCTACTACTCTACTCTTCATAACTATCCTTTCTACCAATATGATGGACTGCATGTAAGATGTTGCCTTGCAGCATGCTGAAGTAACCAGAATAATTTCTGCAAAGCAAATGCATAAGTTAAAATATTACTAAATCCAAACTCCTTTGGATATTTACACCTTTGCTTGGCAACTGTAAGAGGGAGTAAAGCATAGGGCCTGCAATTTCTGCCTTCACTCTGCTAACACTTCACTCTGCTAACAGCTGTTTAAGTTACTGCTCTTTGAAGACCTCATCTTCCAATGTGCTGAACATCATTTATTTTGATCAGCTTGAATGACAACTGGTAGCTCCAGCACACAACACAATTCTGATTACTGGAACATGTCTATGTATTTTATTTATGCACATAAATCCTTTTCTGAATCAAAGTGCATCTAGAAACAGCACCAACTGTTGCACTCTTGTGTGTTACCACAGAACCTTGGAAACTCGGTCTCAGTGCATTGTATCATACAGTATTCAGTGAAGGTAGCATTTAGGGGAGCCCTATAATTTCATTTTCTAGATATTTTTGAATTTATATTCCTAGAGTCTTTTTACCTGCTCCATTGTCCAGAAGTTCCAAGGAAATGGGATCTCCATTCTCTGGACTGATGACAGCAGTCACGCTTGCTCCAAGAACAGGGGAAAAGCCGTGACTCACCTGTACATAGACAACCATTGCACTGGGATAGTAATTTATATCTTTACTCATACGTGTTTTTACAGCCACAGGAGGTATAGTAGAGTTTGCTGCTCAAGAAGTTACTGTCATTGTTAGAACTTGAGGAGCCAGGTGAACATTTGTCAGTGTGTATGTCCACTCCCCTGTCTGAAAAAACGACAATCAAATATTTTCAAATAAAATAATTCACTTTTGGATAAATTAATTTATGCTTATTTAAATTCTGGCAGCCTCCTTAGACTAAGTAACATCCTTCAAGTAGCTTTGTTTCTGTCACTGGGAACACTCATAAATGCAACTCAGAATGAAGAAGTGTTTTCCAGCTGTCCTCTGTCTTTTGCCAATTGTTTGGCAACTATTCCATGTGAGACCACAAGCATCAGATTTGATTTAGTTTCTTAGCGTCTGTGGACTATTTAAGAAATTAAGGATTAATTTTTATGGGGAAAAAAAAAGTTTTCAGAATTTTAATGATGGGAATATGTTTCTATGAACAATGGAGTAATTTTAAATGAATTAAGTTAAAAAGAAAAACCACACACTTGTAATGCTATCTACTACTTAGAATAGTAACAAGACAGAAGATTCACCTACTGGCTCGGTTTCTGATAGTTCTCAGAAACTTGTAGTTAAGTTGTAAACCAAGTGTGAAGTAATAAAAAAAACGCACCTTCAGATAGCACTCTTGAACACAGCAGATGCTTCTGTTTGGCACGCAACAGCAGTCATACTAACATAGTGTAGCAGACCCATTCTGTCTCACGCTATTAAATGATTTTCCTTAATATAACTTTATTAGAATCTAGGCAATGTAGAGTCAGGATGTTAAAAAACAAAATTGTTAAAAGGCAAAAAAAGACCGTAAGTTGTACCTCTGCAATTCCTGGAATCTGGAGACATGCTACATGGAAAACCAAATCAGAGACAAAGTCCTTGCTGGTGTAGCTTTTCTGATTGGGATCAACCAGATTGATCTCAGGTGGTTCAGCAGCTTGCCAAGTGGCTACAAGGAAGGTTTCTCTTCCCACGGTGCTATCAATAGTCACTGCCCTCCTGAGTTGTTTGTACCCTCCAATACTTTCACTAGCACTTTCAATCTATCAAAACCAAAATTATTCTGTCAGTTTTGAAAATCACATATATTCTGTCAAAGAAGGACTTATTTTCATTCAGAGTACTTTAAATATCAGACCTGATAGACTTGAAAAGAATTGAAAACACACACCAATATTATTCTTTTATAATAAATGGGGACTTTATTCTCCCCCTCAAACACAAAACAGCAAAATTTAGTGACAGTTCCATGGAATCACAGAAATGACAGAAAAATTAGGCCCAATGGCCTTCTTTTCATGTTAAATTTCTGCTGGATGGAATTCCAGAAACATATAGCTATGTAGTATATTGCCACTTTCCCAGCTCAAAAGCAATGCTGCTGTTAAAGACCATGTTAGAAATGGCTCAGGATTCAAATTAGGATTAAATAAAAAAATAGGATTTATTAAAAGAATATAAAAGAATAGAGATAAGCAAACAGCGTTGGGTGCACCGGGAGTCTCTGCTCCACCAGGACGCACACCAGTTACATCAAACAGCTGATTTTTACACTCCTAGGCTAACACACGTTCATTACTGCTTCTAAAAAAAACAGGGTTATTATAATTAGTTTCCGGAATCCAAACCCTCCTACTGGAGCATGCGTAACAGTCTCCGGTGGTCCCTCTGGGGGTCTCTCATGCGGAAGGCTCATAGTCTTCCTCCCTCTGGTCCTTCTCCTTTGTCCAGCTTGGCTGTAAGAGACTTGTGCAGCATCCCCTGCAAACTTTGTCTTTTAGTCGTTCTTCAGCTTTCCCCGTCTCCTTAGTCTCCTGGCCAGATACCAGAGACTTGCATAGCGTCCCATGCAATAGTCATAATAGTTAGCAGCTATTCTGAACCCCCCCAGATATCAGAGACTTCAAGTAAAAGCCTACAAATACATTGCCCTTCAAGCTCTCTATTGACACGAATTGCTAAAACATTCCTTTGCAAGGTACAAGAACTACATACATGTACATTAACCACTCTGTTTTTCTTAGACTTCTACTTATAGAAGGGTCTGTAGGACAGAAGGTCACATTCATCATACCATGCAGCCCTAGCACTGTTCCATACTGCCACGGATCAGATGAACATATTTCACACCACTGTCACTGTTGAAGACAGGGAAAAACTTCCGAGCTCTCCCATAGGATTGCCTGAGGGCTCCTCAGAGAAGGTAGCATTCCCAATCCCCCGTCCAGTATCTTCTTCTTGCATCCTCCCGGGGTAACTGTACCTGCTGCTTCCCTGAAGTGCTTCTGCACGGAGCGTGGGAAATAAACAGGATGAGCTCAAGGTCTGCGTTCGGACGCGGGGACACGATCTCGTTGCGATCACTGAGACGTGGTGGGACAGCTCACATGACTGGAATACAATCATGGAGAGCTAAATCCTCTTTAGGAGAGACAGGCTGGGGAAACGAAGGGATGGGGTTGCCCTTATGTGAGGGAGCAATTAGAGTGTACCCAGCTCCAGCTGGGGGAGGGTGACGGACAGGTGGAGAGCTTGTGAGTAAAAAGGGACGGGACCAGGACTGGGGACCAGGACTGGGGACCAGGACTGGGGACCAGGACTGGGGACCAGGACTGGGGACCAGGACTGGGGACCAGGACTGGGGACCAGGACCAGGACTGTCAGAAATGGAGAAATGAGCAGAAAATTGATTTTGTAGGAAAAAAAAAAAAAAAGTAGCTACCAGAATTTGCTGAGTAAACTCAAATTGCTCCCCCAAAATCATGGCCAGCACTTGGACCTCCAGTTTAGAGAGGAGATGGACATTTTGCTATTTTGCAGCTGTCAGGAGACTACTTCATCAGTGTGTGAACCAGCATACAAACATGCAGAAGGCAGCAGCATCTGATCCCCAAATTAAGTGAGACCTGGGCTCACAGCAGCATCTCCTGCAGCTTCACAAACTTTCTATCAGCAGGAAGAAAACCCAGGTTCAAAGAGCAGGGGAAAAGCCCTAGCCCACCCATGACATTTTACACACAGAACAGGCTAATGTTATCAATATGTAAATGAGACTTGGATAAGGGAAACTGTGGGTTGGATTTTGTTATGTCTAAAATTGTCAGATATGTAAACTAAAATCTGTAACATTGATAAAACAAACAGTACAGTTCCTACTGATTTTGCTGTATTCAGAAGAACTGCACTTTTCTCTAGCTGCCAACCAGAAACAGTGCAATTAGAACTAGTCAGCATAAATCAGGGAGTGTAATACTAACAAAAAGCTCAGATCCTCCTCTTTTCTTATGCAATATGAATACCAGAGCTTAACTTTGGCTATTTACATGCTTTAATCTTTAAGTCAGTGGGATAAATTTTGTTCTTCGTTATGTACACATAACCACATCAACACCAATGGAAAGCACAAGTACGAACAACTTTTGGCCTGTTAGGCCTGAACTGGAAACACCCGACTGAAGTCATGTTCTCATTTTTTCATATCTTATTTCAAAAGACTTAATGTTGCTAATCTACAAACTACACTGCAAGCGTGGCCAGTAAATTAAAACAAACTATTAATTGTTTATACCTCAAGTTAATACACAACTGTAAGAAACTTTTAAGTACTAAACTTCACCAACTTCAATTTCTGCTATGGAAATTATTGACTCTCTGTATACTGCAAACTGTTTTATAGTTAGACTTGCTTGTTAATGTATTCCTCACAAGTATATTTTCAAAAATTACCTCCCTAGGGCAACAGAAAGCAAATGCTGTACCTCCCCATTTTCTGACAATCATCCAGATTTCAGTTAACTTCAGTAGCATTTACAGATTATAATATTAGTTATTCTAGCATTGGCTTACAAGTTATGCAGCAATTATTATACAGATTAGATAGTTTATTAGGGCACAGAGAAGTACACATAGAACAGACTGAACTTTTGAAACTTGGAAACAAATAAATGAAATTAGGCCTGGATTTTCATCAAGTTCCTGGCTTTCAAACTGATTAACAGAGCTGCCACATCTCTCCTACCTGCTTCTGTAGCAGAGTTCTGAGCTTCAGTGAAAGTCTGTGAACCTGTAAATGTTAGAAAACATGCAAAATAAGGTTCTACTATTAAAATGTAAAATTAGGCTATAGTACCATTAAACATCCCCACAGAAATTCCACTCTTTTACTGGACAAGACAAACAAACAAACAACCCTCCTTGGAAAGGTGTCTATAGAGTCCCTTAACTGTGAAAATAAGAATATTATTTAACAATATAAAAAGTGGCTCAGAACAAATGTCCAAATCACCTGTATCCCATCTCCAGCAGTAGCAACAGTTATGGAAGATGGTAGGAGTAGATAACCGTGTAGTGAGACTGCCCCGATGTATTTTCCAAACCTTCAATGACTTGCAGATCAGAAATTACCTGAGCTGGAGTTGTTTAATTGGTGTGAGTGGTTGTTTTAGTCTAGACATCTGATGAGCATTTGTTAAATGTCCCAGGCTGTCCCAGGCTTTTGCCATCATACTACTAGGGTTGGAAACCTAGAGAGGGTGGGCTAGGGCTTTTCCCCTGCTCTTTGAACATGGGTTTTCTTCCTGCTGATAGAAAGTTTGTGAAGCTGCAGGAGATACTGCTCTCCTCTTCCTAATCTTCTGAACCAAACATAATTCTGAGGAAATAAAAATGTTCAGGCTCTGCCATTGTTTCCATTCTTAGTGTGGCTGGTATATGCGCAGAGGGACCAGAAAATATCTCTACAGGACAGCAGCAGGAGACTGAAGATGGTGCAGAAGGCTTCATCTTCTTCTTACTCATAATTTATTAGTGTGTATGTAACATAAATCAAATTAAGATTTTTGTTTTTGTTTTTCCTGAAGGTACAAATAAAAGACACTATCTGCTACCAACCAGCAGAAAAAGAGTCATCCACCATCAGGCTAAAACATAATTTCTTAATTACAATGACTGTTATCATTGGTGACACCATGACCCAATAGGGTAAGAAACACAAAATGAAACTAACAGCCTATTCCTGAAGTGGTAAGGAAAGGGAAACAAAATGTCATTTGTTCTCTCCTCAAATGGCTTCCTTATGTTCTGCAGAACCCCAAGCAATTGCAGCTGTTGGGAGAAGCCAGAGCTGCTTTCACTGCTGCCAGTCACACTGCCAGACACCCTTAAGGAAACCCACAAGCCACACAATTTCAGCCAGCACCGAGATGCTATCCTGCATCTCTGTGGTACAAGATGGTACAGCATATGACTTGTTTTACTGTAACCGAGCCTTCTGTTCTCAAATTCATAGACAGCATGATATGGCTAACAAATCACTTCAATATCTGGAATGTGATTACTTATTTATTCTGTTTATTGTAGGATATCTACTTTTCCAAGTCAAAGCAGTTAAATGTTTTTAAATATCTGGAGTTCTAACAAGCTCTGACACTTTATGTTAAAGAAACTTAGCTGCATTTTCTGAAAGTGTCTTTTTCTTTGTTTTCTTTACTAAACAAAGGGTTGTGCTTACTGTAATACACACTACTGTTAGTAATCCAAAGACTAGTAACAATATCGTTGAAAAACTAAACTCCGTATTAGAAGTGGGATACACCATTGGGGGAACAAACTTTACAGCTTGTGCAATATTAGACAGCTCAGAGTGAAGAAAATCATCAATGGCACGCATCGCAACGTAAATTATGGTTATGTTTCCTGTTGTAAAAGCTTCTGGTTTAAATGCAAATATTTCTTTGCAGCCAGCATGCTGAGGTGAGAGAGTGGAAGTATTCACTACACCGGTGTTATAGAAGCTGTCCCTTAGTTCCAGAGGACTCTCACTTATTCTGATTTCATAACTTGCAGCTGAAAATACAAATATTAAAAGATATTGTCATCTGTGTGTTAGCTATCATTCAAACTTCTGATCTCTCTCCAAATACTCTCTTTTCAAAATACTTCCAAAATAATACTTACTTAATATTTTCTTCGTAAGTCAGTTGAGCACCATAAAAATTAATGCAGCATGACGGATAGATCTACAAAAACTTGTTACCTAAACTAAGTGCTTGAACGATTCAATTTCTCACAGCACAGCATTGAAATGAAGAAGTGATGGTGGTCATCATGAGCCCACACTGAAGTCTGACAGTAATTCTGACTTCACTTACTGTTATGTCAAAGTCGGTGAAGTAAAATTCCTACTTGACCAAATCTGATGTTTATTTACACTTTTTCTTTACATGTACAGAGTAATATGTCTATCTTCCATGAGCAGCAGAAAACATCAACTTAGTAAAAGTAAGCCTTCCATCAAAATCACCAGCACTGATTCTGAAACTCTCAAAAAGCTTATCATCTAACTCCATTTAAAATCTTTGCAACTAGAACCACCATACTTTATAAGAAAATTCCCACTAGTGTCAGTGAGACTAAACTCCATTACAGATCTTCCACTTTGGTTAGGAAGCAGGCTGGCAAGCTACGAACATACCTCGGCCTTTGTCAAAATCATTTCCTGGTGATGTCCATGATAGAATGACCTTATCATCTTCTATTCTGGCCACAAGGTCAATAATTTTACATGGTGGAAACACATCAGCATGAGGTCCCATTGGAACTGCAGATATTATGAAGGATTCTCCCACAGCTGTTCTATGGAAACCTCCTCTTCTGACTTGAATATCACTTTTAATAGCTGGGGGTCTTGATGGGTTCATCTTGAGTTTACCTACAGCATTAAAAAATGCTCATCAATCTTAACTTCTTGCATATTATTGTACTGTGCAGGTGACCTGAACATCACCTCATTTATACTGTTTTAAATCTGAAAAATCTATAAACCCCAATTATGTACAGTCATTTCTAGTGTAGTATCTGTTTCTTTACAGTTTCAAGAGTGTTAATTACTAAGAAAGCTAATATGAAATTACAGTAACTGTTGCTTGTTATAAAATAATTACAGGAGAGTTTAATATCCTAATATTGTAACAGTTCTTAATTTAGGATGACTGAATATAAGTAATAATAGTCATTATTACTTAATAAACTTATTGTTAGTCTTTTCCAAACAAAACACAAATCCTGTCTATCTGTACTACATAGCTACTGCCCCATTATAGTTGTTTGTGGTATACTTTCAATATTCTGGGGTATAGAGACTCTTTTGGTGTTAATGCCTTTGTAACTGAACATCTCCTAGCTGGGCTGTTGTTGTTCTAATGTCTCCTCCTAGTATTTGTGAAGGGATGTGATGCATTCAGGTGTTGGAATAGATAGCTATATCATTTTCTCTTCATTGCTTTACCTTACCATTTTCTACATAACCTGGTATATACATGGCATGACTCCACAGCTTTGCAGTTTGTGGCACAATAGTCCTGTTAGCTTGGACATGAGCTTTCAGGCTGTATCTGCCATTCCCAGGGAAAGAAAACAAGTACTTGGAATATATGCCATCATTCTTAACAATGTCAGAACCTAGACAGAAAAATGACATAAATTAACATCAAACAAAAATGGATGTGATTATTTATGCTTTCTAGATTCACATACAGAAACTAGAATGTAAGAATAATAGGTAAATTCTCCTCTGATGTGCAACCTGTGCAGATCCTCTGCATTTGGTTGTATGTTAAAACTTAAAGAAGATTATGATCTGAAGCTAAGATACCTCTTTGTATGGCATGTTAACTGAAGGAAGAGCTAACAGGAAAATCATCTATTATTTCATAAGTTGTTACACTTTGGCCCCTGAGCTGAGATCTGGGAAACCGCCCAGGAATTCAGGGAAAATGGGGTGGGTGGACCTTCACCTCCAAAGTCCTCAGTGTACATTCCTGAAACACACTTCTCATTTATGGACTTACTCCTATGGTGGCACAAACCAGAGAGTATTCGTTACTACTTCTGATTGTTTTCAGTTGTGAACTTTAATATAGAAAAAACACTTTATTGAAGTAGCTCCAAAAGTTACCAAAGTGATTTTGTAACTACCTACTCTACTACTCTACTCTTCATAACTATCCTTTCTACCAATATGATGGACTGCATGTAAGATGTTGCCTTGCAGCATGCTGAAGTAACCAGAATAATTTCTGCAAAGCAAATGCATAAGTTAAAATATTACTAAATCCAAACTCCTTTGGATATTTACACCTTTGCTTGGCAACTGTAAGAGGGAGTAAAGCATAGGGCCTGCAATTTCTGCCTTCACTCTGCTAACACTTCACTCTGCTAACAGCTGTTTAAGTTACTGCTCTTTGAAGACCTCATCTTCCAATGTGCTGAACATCATTTATTTTGATCAGCTTGAATGACAACTGGTAGCTCCAGCACACAACACAATTCTGATTACTGGAACATGTCTATGTATTTTATTTATGCACATAAATCCTTTTCTGAATCAAAGTGCATCTAGAAACAGCACCAACTGTTGCACTCTTGTGTGTTACCACAGAACCTTGGAAACTCGGTCTCAGTGCATTGTATCATACAGTATTCAGTGAAGGTAGCATTTAGGGGAGCCCTATAATTTCATTTTCTAGATATTTTTGAATTTATATTCCTAGAGTCTTTTTACCTGCTCCATTGTCCAGAAGTTCCAAGGAAATGGGATCTCCATTCTCTGGACTGATGACAGCAGTCACGCTTGCTCCAAGAACAGGGGAAAAGCCGTGACTCACCTGTACATAGACAACCATTGCACTGGGATAGTAATTTATATCTTTACTCATACGTGTTTTTACAGCCACAGGAGGTATAGTAGAGTTTGCTGCTCAAGAAGTTACTGTCATTGTTAGAACTTGAGGAGCCAGGTGAACATTTGTCAGTGTGTATGTCCACTCCCCTGTCTGAAAAAACGACAATCAAATATTTTCAAATAAAATAATTCACTTTTGGATAAATTAATTTATGCTTATTTAAATTCTGGCAGCCTCCTTAGACTAAGTAACATCCTTCAAGTAGCTTTGTTTCTGTCACTGGGAACACTCATAAATGCAACTCAGAATGAAGAAGTGTTTTCCAGCTGTCCTCTGTCTTTTGCCAATTGTTTGGCAACTATTCCATGTGAGACCACAAGCATCAGATTTGATTTAGTTTCTTAGCGTCTGTGGACTATTTAAGAAATTAAGGATTAATTTTTATGGGGAAAAAAAAAGTTTTCAGAATTTTAATGATGGGAATATGTTTCTATGAACAATGGAGTAATTTTAAATGAATTAAGTTAAAAAGAAAAACCACACACTTGTAATGCTATCTACTACTTAGAATAGTAACAAGACAGAAGATTCACCTACTGGCTCGGTTTCTGATAGTTCTCAGAAACTTGTAGTTAAGTTGTAAACCAAGTGTGAAGTAATAAAAAAAAACGCACCTTCAGATAGCACTCTTGAACACAGCAGATGCTTCTGTTTGGCACGCAACAGCAGTCATACTAACATAGTGTAGCAGACCCATTCTGTCTCACGCTATTAAATGATTTTCCTTAATATAACTTTATTAGAATCTAGGCAATGTAGAGTCAGGATGTTAAAAAACAAAATTGTTAAAAGGCAAAAAAAGACCGTAAGTTGTACCTCTGCAATTCCTGGAATCTGGAGACATGCTACATGGAAAACCAAATCAGAGACAAAGTCCTTGCTGGTGTAGCTTTTCTGATTGGGATCAACCAGATTGATCTCAGGTGGTTCAGCAGCTTGCCAAGTGGCTACAAGGAAGGTTTCTCTTCCCACGGTGCTATCAATAGTCACTGCCCTCCTGAGTTGTTTGTACCCTCCAATACTTTCACTAGCACTTTCAATCTATCAAAACCAAAATTATTCTGTCAGTTTTGAAAATCACATATATTCTGTCAAAGAAGGACTTATTTTCATTCAGAGTACTTTAAATATCAGACCTGATAGACTTGAAAAGAATTGAAAACACACACCAATATTATTCTTTTATAATAAATGGGGACTTTATTCTCCCCCTCAAACACAAAACAGCAAAATTTAGTGACAGTTCCATGGAATCACAGAAATGACAGAAAAATTAGGCCCAATGGCCTTCTTTTCATGTTAAATTTCTGCTGGATGGAATTCCAGAAACATATAGCTATGTAGTATATTGCCACTTTCCCAGCTCAAAAGCAATGCTGCTGTTAAAGACCATGTTAGAAATGGCTCAGGATTCAAATTAGGATTAAATAAAAAAATAGGATTTATTAAAAGAATATAAAAGAATAGAGATAAGCAAACAGCGTTGGGTGCACCGGGAGTCTCTGCTCCACCAGGACGCACACCAGTTACATCAAACAGCTGATTTTTACACTCCTAGGCTAACACACGTTCATTACTGCTTCTAAAAAAACAGGGTTATTATAATTAGTTTCCGGAATCCAAACCCTCCTACTGGAGCATGCGTAACAGTCTCCGGTGGTCCCTCTGGGGGTCTCTCATGCGGAAGGCTCATAGTCTTCCTCCCTCTGGTCCTTCTCCTTTGTCCAGCTTGGCTGTAAGAGACTTGTGCAGCATCCCCTGCAAACTTTGTCTTTTAGTCGTTCTTCAGCTTTCCCCGTCTCCTTAGTCTCCTGGCCAGATACCAGAGACTTGCATAGCGTCCCATGCAATAGTCATAATAGTTAGCAGCTATTCTGAACCCCCCCAGATATCAGAGACTTCAAGTAAAAGCCTACAAATACATTGCCCTTCAAGCTCTCTATTGACACGAATTGCTAAAACATTCCTTTGGCAAGGTACAAGAACTACATACATGTACATTAACCACTCTGTTTTTCTTAGACTTCTACTTATAGAAGGGTCTGTAGGACAGAAGGTCACATTCATCATACCATGCAGCCCTAGCACTGTTCCATACTGCCACGGATCAGATGAACATATTTCACACCACTGTCACTGTTGAAGACAGGGAAAAACTTCCGAGCTCTCCCATAGGATTGCCTGAGGGCTCCTCAGAGAAGGTAGCATTCCCAATCCCCCGTCCAGTATCTTCTTCTTGCATCCTCCCGGGGTAACTGTACCTGCTGCTTCCCTGAAGTGCTTCTGCACGGAGCGTGGGAAATAAACAGGATGAGCTCAAGGTCTGCGTTCGGACGCGGGGACACGATCTCGTTGCGATCACTGAGACGTGGTGGGACAGCTCACATGACTGGAATACAATCATGGAGAGCTAAATCCTCTTTAGGAGAGACAGGCTGGGGAAACGAAGGGGATGGGGTTGCCCTTATGTGAGGGAGCATTAGAGTGTACCCAGCTCCAGCTGGGGGAGGGTGACGGACAGGTGGAGAGCTTGTGATGTAAAAAAGGGACGGGACCAGGACTGGGGACCAGGACTGGGGACCAGGACTGGGGACCAGGACTGGGGGGACCAGGACTGGGGACCAGACTAGGGGACCAGGACTGGGGACCAGGACCAGGACTGTCAGAAATGGAGAAATGAGCAGAAAATTGATTTTGTAGGAAAAAAAAAAAAAAGTAGCTACCAGAATTTGCTGAGTAAACTCAAATTGCTCCCCCAAAATCATGGCCAGCACTTGGACCTCCAGTTTAGAGAGGAGATGGACATTTTGCTATTTTGCAGCTGTCAGGAGACTACTTCATCAGTGTGTGAACCAGCATACAAACATGCAGAAGGCAGCAGCATCTGATCCCCAAATTAAGTGAGACCTGGGCTCACAGCAGCATCTCCTGCAGCTTCACAAACTTTCTATCAGCAGGAAGAAAACCCAGGTTCAAAGAGCAGGGGAAAAGCCCTAGCCCACCCATGACATTTTACACACAGAACAGGCTAATGTTATCAATATGTAAATGAGACTTGGATAAGGGAAACTGTGGGTTGGATTTTGTTATGTCTAAAATTGTCAGATATGTAAACTAAAATCTGTAACACTGATAAAACAAACAGTACAGTTCCTACTGATTTTGCTGTATTCAGAAGAACTGCACTTTTCTCTAGCTGCCAACCAGAAACAGTGCAATTAGAACTAGTCAGCATAAATCAGGGAGTGTAATACTAACAAAAGCTCAGATCCTCCTCTTTTCTTATGCAATATGAATACCAGAGCTTAACTTTGGCTATTTACATGCTTTAATCTTTAAGTCAGTGGGATAAATTTTGTTCTTCGTTATGTACACATAACCACATCAACACCAATGGAAAGCACAAGTACGAACAAGCTTTTGGCCTGTTAGGCCTGAACTGGAAACACCCTGACTGAAGTCATGTTCTCATTTTTTCATATCTTATTTCAAAAGACTTAATGTTGCTAATCTACAAACTACACTGCAAGCGTGGCCAGTAAATTAAAACAAACTATTAATTGTTTATACCTCAAGTTAATACACAACTGTAAGAAACTTTTAAGTACTAAACTTCACCAACTTCAATTTCTGCTATGGAAATTATTGACTCTCTGTATACTGCAAACTGTTTTATAGTTAGACTTGCTTGTTAATGTATTCCTCACAAGTATATTTTCAAAAATTACCCTCCCTAGGGCAACAGAAAGCAAATGCTGTACCTCCCCATTTTCTGACAATCATCCAGATTTCAGTTAACTTCAGTAGCATTACAGATTATAATATTAGTTATTCTAGCATTGGCTTACAAGTTATGCAGCAATTATTATACCGATTAGATAGTTTATTAGGGCACAGAGAAGTACACATAGAACAGACTGAACTTTGAAACTTGGAAACAAATAAATGTAATTAGGCCTGGATTTTCATCAAGTCCTGGCTTTCAAACTGATTAACAGAGCTGCCACAATCTCGCCTACCTGCTTCTGTAGCAGAGTTTCTGAGCTTCAGTGAAAGTCTGTGAACCTGTAAATGTTAAGAAAACATGCAAAATAAGGTATTCTACTATTAAAATGTAAATTAGGCTATAGTACCATTAAACATCCCCACAGAAATTCCACTCTTTTACTGGACAAGACAAACAAACAAACAACCCTCCTTGGAAAGGTGTCTATTAGAGTCCCTTAACTGTGAAAATAAGAATATTATTTAACAATATAAAAAGTGTGCTCAGAACAAATGTCCAATTACCTGTATCCCATCTCCAGCAGTAGCAACAGTTATGGAAGATGGTAGGAGTAGATAACCGTGTAGTGAGACCTGCCCCGATGTACTTTTTCCTTCCCAACCTTCAATGACTGTGCAGAATCAGAAATTACCTAGAGCTGGAGTTGTTTTATTGGTGTGAGTGGTTTGTTTTAGTCTAGACACTCTGATGAGGCATTTGTTAAATGTCCCAGGGCTGTCCCCAGGCTTTTGCCACATACTACTACGGGTTGGAACCTAGAGAGGGTGGGCTAGTGGGCTCTTCTCCCCTGCTCTTTGAACATTGGGTTTTCTCCTGCTGATAGAAGAGTATTTGTGAAGCATGCAGGAGGATACTGCTCTCCCTCATTCCTAAATCTTCTGGAACCAAACGATAATTCTGAGGAAATAGAAATGTTCAGTGCCCTCTGCCCTTGTTTCCATTCTGATGGTGGCCTGGGTATATGCCGCAGAGGGACCAGAAAATATCTCTACAGGACAGCAGCAGGAGACTGAAGATGGTGCAGAGGCTTCATCTTCTTCTTACTCATAATTTATTAGTGTGTATGTAACATAAATCAAATTAAGAATTTTGTTTTGGTTTTTCCTGAAGGTACAAATAAAAGACACTATCTGCTACCAACAAGCAGAAAAAGAGTCATCCACCATCAGGCTAAAACATAATTTCTTAATTACAATGACTGTTATCATTGGTGACACCATGACCAATAGGGTAAGAACACAAAATGAAACTAACAGCCTATTCCTGAAGTGGTAAGGAAAGGGAAACAAAATGTCATTTGTTCTCTCCTCAAATGGCTTCCTTATGTTCTGCAGAACCCCAAGCAATTGCAGCTGTTGGGAGAAGCCAGAGCTGCTTCCACTGCTGCCAGTCACTCTGCCAGACACCCTTAACGGAAACCCACAAGCCACACAATTTCAGCCAGCACCGAGATGCTATCCTGCATCTCTGTGGTACAAGATGGTACAGCATATGACTTGTTTTACTGTAACCAAGCCTTCTGTTCTCAAATTCATAGACAGCATGATATGGCTAACAAATCACTTCAATATCTGGAATGTGATTACTTATTTATTCTGTTTATTGTAGGATATCTACTTTTCCAAGTCAAAGCAGTTAAATGTTTTTAAATATCTGGAGTTCTAACAAGCTCTGACACTTTATGTTAAAGAAACTTAGCTGCATTTTCTGAAAGTGTCTTTTTCTTTGTTTTCTTTACTAAACAAAGGGTTGTGCTTACTGTAATACACACTACTGTTAGTAATCCAAAGACTAGTAACAATATCGTTGAAAAACTAAACTCCGTATTAGAAGTGGGATACACCATTGGGGGGAACAAACTTTACAGCTTGTGCAATATTAGACAGCTCAGAGTGAAGAAAATCATCAATGGCACGCATCGCAACGTAAATTATGGTTATGTTTCCTGTTGTAAAAGCTTCTGGTTTAAATGCAAATATTTCTTTGCAGCCAGCATGCTGAGGTGAGAGAGTGGAAGTATTCACTACACCGGTGTTATAGAAGCTGTCCCTTAGTTCCAGAGGACTCTCACTTATTCTGATTTCATAACTTGCAGCTGAAAATACAAATATTAAAAGATATTGTCATCTGTGTGTTAGCTATCATTCAAACTTCTGATCTCTCTCCAAATACTCTCTTTTCAAAATACTTCCAAAATAATACTTACTTAATATTTCTTCGTAAGTCAGTTGAGCACCATAAAAATTAATGCAGCATGACGGATAGATCTACAAAAACTTGTTACCTAAACTAAGTGCTTGAACGATTCAATTTCTCACAGCACAGCATTGAAATGAAGAAGTGATGGTGGTCATCATGAGCCCACACTGAAGTCTGACAGTAATTCTGACTTCACTTACTGTTATGTCAAAGTCGGTGAAGTAAAATTCCTACTTGACCAAATCTGATGTTTATTTACACTTTTTCTTTACATGTACAGAGTAATATGTCTACCTTCCATGAGCAGCAGAAAACATCAACTTAGTAAAAGTAAGCCTTCCATCAAAATCACCAGCACTGATTCTGAAACTCTCAAAAAGCTTATCATCTAATTCCATTTAAAATCTTTGCAACTAGAACCACCATACTTTATAAGAAAATTCCCACTAGTGTCAGTGAGACTAAACTCCATTACAGATCTTCCACTTTGGTTAGGAAGCAGGCTGGCAAGCTACGAACATACCTCGGCCTTTGTCAAAATCATTTCCTGGTGCTGTCCATGATAGAATGACCTTATCATCTTCTATTCTGGCCACAAGGTCAATAATTTTACATGGTGGAAACACGTCAGCATGAGGTCCCATTGGAACTGCAGATATTATGAAGGATTCTCCCACAGCTGTTCTATGGAAACCTCCTCTTCTGACTTGAATATCACTTTTAATAGCTGGGGGTCTTGATGGGTTCATCTTGAGTTTACCTACAGCATTAAAAAATGCTCATCAATCTTAACTTCTTGCATATTATTGTACTCTGCAGGTGACCTGAACATCACCTCATTTATACTGTTTTAAATCTGAAAAATCTATAAACCTCAATTATGTACAGTCATTTCTAGTGTAGTATCTGTTTCTTTACAGTTTCAAGAGTGTTAATTACTAAGAAAGCTAATATGAAATTACAGTAACTGTTGCTTGTTATAAATAATTACAGGAGAGTTTAATATCCTAATATTGTAACAGTTCTTAATTTAGGATGACTGAATATAAGTAATAATAGTCATTATTACTTAATAAACTTATTGTTAGTCTTTTCCAAACAAAACACAAATCCTGTCTATCTGTACTACATAGCTACTGCCCCATTATAGTTGTTTGTGGTATACTTTCAATATTCTGGGGTATAGAGACTCTTTTGGTGTTAATGCCTTCGTAACTGAACATCTCCTAGCTGGGCTGTTGTTGTTCTAATGTCTCCTCCTAGTATTTGTGAAGGGATGTGATGCATTCAGGTGTTGGAATAGATAGCTATATCATTTTCTCTTCATTGCTTTACCTTACCATTTTCTACATAACCTGGTATATACATGGCATGACTCCACAGCTTTGCAGTTTGTGGCACAATAGTCCTGTTAGCTTGGACATGAGCTTTCAGGCTGTATCTGCCATTCCCAGGGAAAGAAAACAAGTACTTGGAATATATGCCATCATTCTTAACAATGTCAGAACCTAGACAGAAAAATGACATAAATTAACATCAAACAAAAATGGATGTGATTATTTATGCTTTCTAGATTCACATACAGAAACTAGAATGTAAGAATAATAGGTAAATTCTCCTCTGATGTGCAACCTGTGCAGATCCTCTGCATTTGGTTGTATGTTAAAACTTAAAGAAGATTATGATCTGAAGCTAAGATACCTCTTTGTATGGCATGTTAACTGAAGGAAGAGCTAACAGGAAAATCATCTATTATTTCATAAGTTGTTACACTTTGGCCCCTGAGCTGAGATCTGGGAAACCGCCCAGGAATTCAGGGGAAAATGGGGTGGGTGGACCTTCACCTCCAAAGTCCTCAGTGTACATTCCTGAAACACACTTCTCATTTATGGACTTACTCCTATGGTGGCACAAACCAGAGAGTATTCGTTACTACTTCTGATTGTTTTCAGTTGTGAACTTTAATATAGAAAAAACACTTTATTGAAGTAGCTCCAAAGTTACCAAAGTGATTTTGTAACTACCTACTCTACTACTCTACTCTTCATAACTATCCTTTCTACCAATATGATGGACTGCATGTAAGATGTTGCCTTGCAGCATGCTGAAGTAACCAGAATAATTTCTGCAAAGCAAATGCATAAGTTAAAATATTACTAAATCCAAACTCCTTTGGATATTTACACCTTTGCTTGGCAACTGTAAGAGGGAGTAAAGCATAGGGCCTGCAATTTCTGCCTGTAAGTGGTCATACTTCACTCTGCTAACAGCTGTTTAAGTTACTGCTCTTTGAAGACCTCATCTTCCAATGTGCTGAACATCATTTATTTTGATCAGCTTGAATGACAACTGGTAGCTCCAGCACACAACACAATTCTGATTACTGGAACATGTCTATGTATTTTATTTATGCACATAAATCCTTTTCTGAATCAAAGTGCATCTAGAAACAGCACCAACTGTTGCACTCTTGTGTGTTACCACAGAACCTTGGAAACTCAGTCTCAGTGCATTGTATCATACAGTATTCAGTGAAGGTAGCATTTAGGGGAGCCCTATAATTTCATTTTCTAGATATTTTTGAATTTATATTCCTAGAGTCTTTTTACCTGCTCCATTGTCCAGAAGTTCCAAGGAAATGGGATCTCCGTTCTCTGGACTGATGACAGCAGTCACGCTTGCTCCAAGAACAGGGGAAAAGCCGTGACTCACCTGTACATAGACAACCATTGCACTGGGATAGTAATTTATATCTTTACTCATACGTGTTTTTACAGCCACAGGAGGTATAGTAGAGTTTGCTGCTCGAGAAGTTACTGTCATTGTTAGAACTTGAGGAGCCAGGTGAACATTTGTCAGTGTGTATGTCCACTCCCCTGTCTGAAAAAACGACGATCAAATATTTTCAAATAAAATAATTCACTTTTGGATAATTAATTTATGCTTATTTAAATTCTGGCAGCCTCCTTAGACTAAGTAACATCCTTCAAGTAGCTTTGTTTCTGTCACTGGGAACACTCATAAATGCAACTCAGAATGAAGAAGTGTTTTCCAGCTGTCCTCTGTCTTTTGCCAATTGTTTGGCAACTATTCCATGTGAGACCACAAGCATCAGATTTGATTTAGTTTCTTAGCGTCTGTGGACTATTTAAGAAATTAAGGATAAATTTTTATGGGGAAAAAAAAAGTTTTCAGAATTTTAATGATGGGAATATGTTTCTATGAACAATGGAGTAATTTTAAATGAATTAAGTTAAAAAGAAAAACCACACACTTGTAATGCTATCTACTACTTAGAATAGTAACAAGACAGAAGATTCACCTACTGGCTCGGTTTCTGATAGTTCTCAGAAACTTGTAGTTAAGTTGTAAACCAAGTGTGAAGTAATAAAAAAAACGCACCTTCAGATAGCACTCTTGAACACAGCAGATACTTCTGTTTGGCACGCAACAGCAGTCATACTAACATAGTGTAGCAGACCCATTCTGTCTCACGCTATTAAATGATTTTCCTTAACATAACTTTATTAGAATCTAGGCAATGTAGAGTCAGGATGTTAAAAAACAAAATTGTTAAAAGGCAAAAAAAGACCGTAAGTTGTACCTCTGCAATTCCTGGAATCTGGAGACGTGCTACATGGAAAACCAAATCAGAGACAAAGTCCTTGCTGGTGTAGCTTTTCCGATTGGGATCAACCAGATTGATCTCAGGTGGTTCAACAGCTTGCCAAGTGGCTACAAAGAAGGTTTCTCTTCCCACGGTGCTATCAATAGTCACTGCCCTCCTGAGTTGTTTGTACCCTCCAATACTTTCACTAGCACTTTCGATCTATCAAAACCAAAATTATTCTGTCAGTTTTGAAAATCACATATATTCTGTCAAAGAAGGACTTATTTTTATTCAGACTACTTTAAATATCAGACCTGATAGACTTGAAAAGAATTGAAAACACACACCAATATTATTCTTTTATAATAAATGGGGACTTTATTCTCCCCCTCAAACACAAAACAGCAAAATTTAGTGACAGTTCCATGGAATCACAGAAATGACAGAAAAATTAGGCCCAATGGCCTTCTTTTCATGTTAAATTTCTGCTGGATGGAATTCCAGAAACATATAGCTATGTAGTATATTGCCACTTTCCCAGCTCAAAAGCAATGCTGCTGTTAAAGACCATGTTAGAAATAGCTCAGGATTCAAATTAGGATTAAATAAAAAATAGGATTTATTAAAAGAATAGAGATAAGCAAACAGCGTTGGGTGCACCAGGAGTCTCTGCTCCACCAGGACGCACACCAGTTACATCAAGCAGCTGATTTTTATGCTCCTAGACTAATACATATTCATTACTACTTCTAAAAAAACAGGGTTATTATAATTAGTTTCCAGAATCCAAACCCTCCTACTGGAGCATGCGTAACAGTCTCCGGTGGTCCCTCTGTGGGTCTCTCATGTGGAAGGCTCATAGTCTTCCTCCCTCTGGTCCTTCTCCTTTGTCCAGCTTGGCTGTAAGAGACTTGTGCAGCATCCCCTGCAAACTTTGTCTTTTAGTCATTCTTCAGCTTTCCCCATCTCCTTAGTCTTCTGGCCAGATACCAGAGACTTGCATAGTGTCCCATGCAATAGTCATAATAGTTAGCAGCTATTCTGAACCCCCCCAGATATCAGAGACTTCAAGTAAAAGCCTACAAATACATTTCCCTTCAAGCTCTCTATTGACACGAATTGCTAAAACATTCCTTTGCAAGGTACAAGAACTACATACATGTACATTAACCACTCTGTTTTTCTTAGACTTCTACTTATAGAAGGGTCTGTAGGACAGAAGGTCACATTCATCATACCATGCAGCCCTAGCATTGTTCCATACTGCCATGGATCAGATGAACACATTTCACACCGCTGTCACTGTTGAAGACAGGGAAAAACTTCTGAGCTCTCCCATAGGATTGCCTGAGGGCTCCTCAGAGAAGGTAGCATTCCCAATCCCCCGTCCAGTATCTTCTTCTTGCATCCTCCCGGGGTAACTGTACCTGCTGCTTCCCTAAAGTGCTTGTGCACGAAGCGTGGGAAATAAACAGGATGAGCTCAAGGTCTGCATTCGGACGCGGGGCCACGATCTCGTTGCGATCACTGAGACGTGGTGGGACAGCTCACATGACTGGAACACAATCATGGAGAGCTAAATCCTCTTTAGGAGAGACAGGCTGGGGAAAAGAGGGGGTGGGATTACCCTTATGTGAGGGAGCAATTAGAGTGTACCCAGCTCCACCTGGGGGAGGGTGATGGAGAGGTGGAGAGCTTGTGAGTAAAAAGGGACGGGACCAGGACTGGGCCAGGACTGGGGACCAGGACTGGGGACCAGGACTGGGGACCAGGACTGGGGACCAGGACTGGGGACCAGGACTGGGGACCAGGACTGGGGACCAGGACTGGGGACCAGGACTGGGGACCAGGACTGGGGACCAGGACTGGGGACCAGGACTGGGGACCAGGACTGGGGACCAGGACTGGGGACCAGGACTGGGGACCAGGACTGGGGACCAGGACTGGGGACCAGGACTGGGGACCAGGACTGGGGACCAGGACTGGGGACCAGGACTGGGGACCAGGACTGGGGACCAGGACTGGGGACCAGGACTGGGGACCAGGACTGGGGACCAGGACTGGGGACCAGGACTGGGGACCAGGACTGGGGACCAGGACTGGGGACCAGGACTGGGGACCAGGACTGGGGACCAGGACTGGGGACCAGGACTGGGGACCAGGACTGGGGACCAGGACTGGGGACCAGGACTGGGGACCAGGACTGGGGACCAGGACTGGGGACCAGGACTGGGGACCAGGACTGGGGACCAGGACTGGGGACCAGGACTGGGGACCAGGACTGGGGACCAGGACTGGGACCAGGACTGGGGACCAGGACTGGGGACCAGGACTGGGGACCAGGACTGGGGACCAGGACTGGGGACCAGGACTGGGGACCAGGACTGGGGACCAGGACTGGGGACCAGGACTGGGGACCAGGACTGGGGACCAGGACTGGGGACCAGGACTGGGGACCAGGACTGGGGACCAGGACTGGGGACCAGGACTGGGGACCAGGACTGGGGACCAGGACTGGGGACCAGGACTGGGGACCAGGACTGGGGACCAGGACTGGGGACCAGGACTGGGGACCAGGACTGGGGACCAGGACTGGGGACCAGGACTGGGGACCAGGACTGGGGACCAGGACTGGGGACCAGGACTGGGGACCAGGACTGGGGACCAGGACTGGGGACCAGGACTGGGGACCAGGACTGGGGACCAGGACTGGGGACCAGGACTGGGGACCAGGACTGGGGACCAGGACTGGGGACCAGGACTGGGGACCAGGACTGGGGACCAGGACTGGGGACCAGGACTGGGGACCAGGACTGGGGACCAGGACTGGGGACCAGGACTGGGGACCAGGACTGGGGACCAGGACTGGGGACCAGGACTGGGGACCAGGACTGGGGACCAGGACTGGGGACCAGGACTGGGGACCAGGACTGGGGACCAGGACTGGGGACCAGGACTGGGGACCAGACTGGGACACGGACTGGGACCAGGACTGGGACCAGGACTGGGGACCAGGACTGGGGACCAGGACTGCGGGACCAGGACTGGGGACCAGGCACTGGGGAACCAGGACTGGGGACCAGGACTGGGGACCAGGACTGGGGACCAGGACTGGGACCAGGACTGGGACCAGGACTGGGGACCAGGACTGAGGGACCAGGACCTGGGGACCAGGACTGGGCGACCAGGACTGGGGACCAGGACTGGGGACCAGGCCTGGGGACCAGGGACTGGGCGACCAGGACTGGGGACCAGGACTGGGGAACAGGACTGGTGGACCAGGACTGGGGACCAGGACTGGGGACCAGGACATGGGACCAGGACTGGGGACCAGGACTGGGACCAGGAATTGGCGACCAGGACTTGGGACCAGGACGGGGACCAGGACTGGGGACCAGGACTGGGGACCAGGACTGGGACCAGGACTGGGGACAGGGACTGGGACCAGGACTGGGACCAGACTGGGGACCAGGACCTGGGACCAGGACTGGGGACCAGGACTGGGGACCAGGACTGGGGACCAGGACTGGGGACCAGGACTGGGGACCAGGACTGGGGACCAGGACTGGGGACCAGGACTGGGGACCAGGACTGGGGACCAGGACTGGGGACCAGGACTGGGGACCAGGACTGGGGACCAGGACTGGGGACCAGGACTGGGGACCAGGACTGGGGACCAGGACTGGGGACCAGGACTGGGGACCAGGACTGGGGACCAGGACTGGGGACCAGGACTGGGGACCAGGACTGGGGACCAGGACTGGGGACCAGGACTGGGGACCAGGACTGGGGACCAGGACTGGGGACCAGGACTGGGGACCAGGACTGGGGACTGGGGACCAGGACTGGGGACCAGGACTGGGGACCAGGACTGGGGACCAGGACTGGGGACCAGGACTGGGGACCAGGACTGGGGACCAGGACTGGGGACCAGGACTGGGGACCAGGACTGGGGACCAGGACTGGGGACCAGGACTGGGGACCAGGACTGGGGACCAGGACTGGGGACCAGGACTGGGGACCAGGACTGGGGACCAGGACTGGGGACCAGGACTGGGGACCAGGACTGGGGACCAGGACTGGGGACCAGGACTGGGGACCAGGACTGGGGACCAGGACTGGGGACCAGGACTGGGGACCAGGACTGGGGACCAGGACTGGGGACCAGGACTGGGGACCAGGACTGGGGACCAGGACTGGGGACCAGGACTGGGGACCAGGACTGGGGACCAGGACTGGGGACCAGGACTGGGGACCAGGACTGGGGACCAGGACTGGGGACCAGGACTGGGGACCAGGACTGGGGACCAGGACTGGGGACCAGGACTGGGGACCAGGACTGGGGACCAGGACTGGGGACCAGGACTGGGGACCAGGACTGGGGACCAGGACTGGGGACCAGGACTGGGGACCAGGACTGGGGACCAGGACTGGGGACCAGGACTGGGGACCAGGACTGGGGACCAGGACTGGGGACCAGGACTGGGGACCAGGACTGGGGACCAGGACTGGGGACCAGGACTGGGGACCAGGACTGGGGACCAGGACTGGGGACCAGGACTGGGGACCAGGACTGGGGACCAGGACTGGGGACCAGGACTGGGGACCAGGACTGGGGACCAGGACTGGGGACCAGGACTGGGGACCAGGACTGGGGACCAGGACTGGGGACCAGGACTGGGGACCAGGACTGGGGACCAGGACTGGGGACCAGGACTGGGGACCAGGACTGGGGACCAGGACTGGGGACCAGGACTGGGGACCAGGACTGGGGACCAGGACTGGGGACCAGGACTGGGGACCAGGACTGGGGACCAGGACTGGGGACCAGGACTGGGGACCAGGACTGGGGACCAGGACTGGGGACCAGGACTGGGGACCAGGACTGGGGACCAGGACTGGGGACCAGGACTGGGGACCAGGACTGGGGACCAGGACTGGGGACCAGGACTGGGGACCAGGACTGGGGACCAGGACTGGGGACCAGGACTGGGGACCAGGACTGGGGACCAGGACTGGGGACCAGGACTGGGGACCAGGACTGGGGACCAGGACTGGGGACCAGGACTGGGGACCAGGACTGGGGACCAGGACTGGGGACCAGGACTGGGGACCAGGACTGGGGACCAGGACTGGGGACCAGGACTGGGGACCAGGACTGGGGACCAGGACTGGGGACCAGGACTGGGGACCAGGACTGGGGACCAGGACTGGGGACCAGGACTGGGGACCAGGACTGGGGACCAGGACTGGGGACCAGGACTGGGGACCAGGACTGGGGACCAGGACTGGGGACCAGGACTGGGGACCAGGACTGGGGACCAGGACTGGGGACCAGGACTGGGGACCAGGACTGGGGACCAGGACTGGGGACCAGGACTGGGGACCAGGACTGGGGACCAGGACTGGGGACCAGGACTGGGGACCAGGACTGGGGACCAGGACTGGGGACCAGGACTGGGGACCAGGACTGGGGACCAGGACTGGGGACCAGGACTGGGACCAGGACTGGGGACCAGGACTGGGGACCAGGACTGGGGACCAGGACTGGGGACCAGGACTGGGGACCCAGGACTGGGGACCAGGACTGGGGACCAAGGACTGGGGACCAGGACTGGGGACCAGGACTGGGGGACCAGGACTGGGGACAGGACTGGGGACCAGGACTGGGGACCAGGACTGGGGACCAGGACGGGGACCAGGACTGGGGACCAGGACTGGGGACCAGGACTGGGGACCAGGACTGGGACCAGGACTGGGGACCAGGACTGGGGACCAGGACTGGGGACCAGGACTGGGGACCAGGACTGGGGACCAGGACTGGGGACCAGGACTGGGACCAGGACTGGGGACCAGGACT